AGGAGCGCTCCATTTCTGGGATGGGRTTAAAGTCTCCTAACCCAATTTATTCATCACCAATTTTTAGCAAGCAGAGAAMGTTGATGCAAAATAATAAAAGAACGATGATGACACTTTTCTCAAAGCGAAGTGTATGAGCGCATGTTCACACTAAGCGAAGATGATGAAGCTACAGCTTCACTCACCTCCACCAGGTTGATGAGGTGCAGGAGGAACTCGTGGGCATCTTGTTGTCTGTTGGAGGAAAACTCTGGGTGTCCCCTGCTAACCAGGGCTTTGAACATTCGAGGAGAGATGCCCCTCTGCTGGTGCTAGAAGAAAGAAAAGATTTTTTAAAATGTGGATAARCACTAAAGTACAGCACTGTTTTAGTAATGAACAGCTGGTTTCTCTAACAAAGTAAATCTGGTGAAAATAAAGCAAGTTTGAAGTAGCTGMCATTTGATTCTTAGATTTATTTAGAGATCAAATAAAATGTTAATCTGTTTCTTCATACTATTATGGACAGACCCCTGTTAAAACATAAAAAAGTCCACTGGCAGAATAGGTTTTAAGTTTGAATTGTTGAATAAATACAATAAATATAAACTAGTGGCATCTTTTTGTCACACCATAAGAATCAATCGGCTGATATTTCATACAGTCCACAGTGGAGGAAATCAAGTATTTTTATAAGATTAGGTAAAAGTAACCTATCTTCGCCCCCCCACAGCTGACAATACATGTCCAAACTTGACTCCACCATTGCATATAGGAAGTTAAGGATCATAGCTTTTGTCCAATCAAATTCTGAGTTATTTGGCTTCAAAACTTAGACTGAGACTAACTTACTGAGTTTTTAGTTTCAMAATCAATAAAATGTTAGTGTAACACACAAAAAAATTAATTAATTTATCTGTCCGAGACTTTCACAAACAAAGTGGAAAATTAAAATGACAAGAAAAGCACAGTATTCAAGATGTGTCTGAAGATGTCAGGTGAAATCATTTTAGATGCATATTTGAAGCCAATCTACAGTAATTATTTGAAGGTTGACTTTTTTTTGTATTAAAAACACTTTTCTTTTATTGGTCGGATGAAATATGCTAATTTTTTGAGATAGGGATTTTTCATTTTTCTTTACTTTTTTGCCAAAATCATCAATATTAAAACAATAAAAGGCTTGAACTACTTCAGTTGGTGTGCAATGAATCTAAAATATATAAAAGTTTAATGTTTATCAGTACATTACAGAAAATAATGAACTTGATCACAATATGCAAGTTTTTTGAGAAGGACCTGTATATCCACAATACAGACCAAACCCACTCATCACATCTCAACATCAACCAGCTTCTGTCAGTTATGTATCCAGTGTGAGAGCTGGACATACCCCGTTTAATACTTTGTGTTCTTCTTTCATCACCTGTTCAATAAGCTCAGATTTCATGGGTGGTTTGGAGTACTGGCCTGAGAGCAGCCCGTGTCCCAGTTTAGCCCTGTCGGACAAAAACACGGACACAAACATGAAGCAAAATCAGTCGTCGTTTATTCTTGAGAGACTTAATTTTCTGACTGGAACACCCTGAAGAAACAGAACAACAAATCTTCACACATCACACACCTTTCAACTTAGGACAGGACACAATTACCGGCTGCACAAATGAAGTTTTATTTGACAGCAGTCAATGAAATAAATGTGTTTGTATTCGCATCAGCAGTGAGAAGCCAGAACACAACAGCAGCAAACTGAATAGATGTGCCCAAACCTTTATTCCATACCATAAAATAATAAGGACATTTATGTTGGGTAGATTATTTCTTTTTTTGTAACAATGCTTCTTAGCAGTAAATCTTCTACCATTGAAAAGTCTGTTGATTTCCCTGATGCCACATTTGTAAGGAACATGCATTAGTGGGATGAGCAGTAGAGCTGAGTATGTGGGTTGCACACATGGAAAATTTGTGAACTCTTCTCTGCCAAACAACTTATTCTGCTGTTGCTWTTGACTCTTGTTTTGAGCTTCTGGTTCCCCCAGCTGCTGCCAATCAGGTGCCTGCTATAAGGTTTATTGCCAAGAAGCATTGTAACAACACAGAAACAATCTACCAAACACATTCCCTTACATTTTTATAGTACAGAATAAAGATTTGGGCACATCTACTAAATGCGTATTTCATATGAACTTAACTAATGCTCCATTAGATATTTTCTCTCCGATATCATTTCCAGTTATATTGGAGTGTCTGTCAGTTTGAAGACTAAGACAAAAGTAAAATCATTTATCATCTCCAAATGTCAAAAAAGGTCTGTCAGCTGACCTCAGAGTGGAAAAAAGTGATAAAATCTACTTCTTTAACCTAACTCCTAATCAAACATAAAACAGCTAACCGTACTTATGCTTCTTATATGTTTGTAATTAAACTGTACATAATTTTGCATCATTTTGTGCAGGTAAATGATGTAAGATCTGAACTCWGCAACATTTCATGTGGAGTTCCTCAAGGTTCTGTACTTGGACCAAAGTTATTTCTTTTCTGAATCTGAATGATTTAGTAAATGTGTCAGGGTTTCTTAAATGTGTATTATTTGCAGATGATACTACATTTTTCTGTTCAGGAAAAAATATAGAACGAATGATGGGGATGATGCAAACTGAATTTGTTAAAATACAAACTTGGTTTAAACTAAATAAACTATCAATAAATTTGAATAAAACTGTTATGATATTCAGTAATAGAAACAGAGCTATTGATTTCCCTTTTCGAGTTGATGTTGTTGAGATCTGTAGAGTCAATGAGGTGAAGTTTTTGGGTGTTATTATTGATGAAAAGCAGATATGGAAATCTCACATAAATCACTTAAGAACAAAAAAAAATCCATTGCAG